AGTCGTGTCTAGCGATTTCACTATTGGTCAACACGTTTGGTCTATGCGTTACGCGTTCACACACGGCGTCACGTGGTGGCAGTGGCAGTCGTGTAATCTGCGTGTTCTGTATACCAACTATGTTGGCGTCACGAAATCGCAATTCTCAGTTTATATATGTCTGAACTCTTGAACTCGTTTTTGTTTTTTCTGAATACCACCAAAATAATRTTCATTAGTACGTAGGCAGAAATGAAATAAGTAATCGAAAAATAGAATGGTATTATTATTATATTTTTTTTCATATAATATATTTTGGTAAGGCCAATTTAATCCAGGAAACCAGAAGACATTAGTGGACGATACCTGCTGTGTTCACAGGAAGGGTTAAAAAAATGTATAAGTTAAAACTCACGCAAAACGTACGCACTTAATTTCCGTAAAAGGGTCACGATAATAAGGTGGTGGTGAGTGTTTAAGTTTCTTATACATTTTTTTTCTCGTCTAACACAGTTAATTTTGTAGCCCTTGTCCACGCCCACCGTTGTGTCATCAACCGCACGGTCATTAGCATATAAACGAAGCAAAGGCGATACAATATTATTATTAAGTGTCCGGAAAAACTGAGCCTTTTTTCCGTATAATAATAACAATATTTCTTTGGGGAAACGACAAGTACTTTTTAATCGTATTCCGGTCACGTATTTTGCGAGGTGAGAAAAAGTGGTTGTTAAAAATTACGCTACTTAAGTTAGTCTTTACAAATCGATCGGTTCAATACTTTTATTTCGCGTATAAATGTGACAATGGCAAGATCGGAAATTTGTTAGCTATATACGCAAAATGTGAAACAACTATCTATAATAACGTTGGCCACGTATATAATATTATACTTAGTATATATAACATTTAATGTACGCACATCTTTCCGGTGGAAAGTTTCCACTATTTTTTTTTTTTGCTCCAAAACAGTTTATCCGATAAACATCAGTGCACATATCATCAAGTATAAAGATACCATCAAGACGTCGTCGAAGTAACGTATACAACGTT